ACAACATACTGATCAGGACCCGGACTAGGGGGAGACAAGGGAGCCATGTACTTTAGGAGCAAAATTTAAGGGGTACCAAAAACTCAGCATAATACTTTGATTTAATAAAAAAAATTTTAAAAATTAAAGTTAAGGCAAAAAATCCACAATAAACAAAATGTCCAAACTGTAAACCAAGACAGGATCCAGCCCTGCGCTTGCACAGCACTGCCTCACCTGACTCCCCTAACCCTGTCCTGCTGACTGGGGCCTACTGTGGGCTGAATACTGCTGACTTCCATGGACATGTCTGCATTCTTAGTATATGTATATATACCAAGTTAAAGTACCAGAAAACAATACTAACCCTTACTGTATACAACGAAGTATCATAAAACAATGATACTTTATGTACAGAATGTATATGTGTGTGTGTACATATATGTATATATAGACATGAAACCTCCTAAAATGGCTGTATGAACCATAAATGGATTATGTTCCACACAGCCGAAACCCCCAATCTAGAATGGAATCCAACCCCTACCATAAAACCATCCTCTTACTTCAACTGCTGCCAAAACAAGAACCCAGAAATTCTATGTAAGAAGGCAGTATAATTTCATGGAAAGACTAACCAATTAGAAGAAAACTAAGAAATTTAATCATTCCATTCTAGCTCTGGTTTTTTCCTTGCTGGGGAAATAAAATATTGTAGTGAAACCTACATAGAAAATAAGACTGAATTGATGATTTTCTTCATTTTAACAATCAATTTAATATTTGGAGTATCTCTGTGAGTCATGAAAATATAATGATCCCTTTAAAAGTGACATGCTTATAAAGTAGGACTATATAAGACTCCTCCAGTGAGTCACAATTTAAAAAAGAAATTCCTTTGTATCCTCATTCTTTTCTACCTTTTACATTTAAACTTTTATTACTTAATAAAGTCCCATGTGAGAGGGTTTTCAGCTCCTGCCCAGACATATCTAAAGGAAAGAAAGAGAAAGTTTCCTGTACCATCTTCACGCTGCATTTTGCGCTACATTCCAAGTTTTCTTCCTGGCTCCTTCTCATCATCTGTGTCCTGTTAAGTATAGCTAAGACCAATCTTCAGATCAGGAAGAATAAGCCCCAGATTTACTGGAAAAGCTATAATTTTATCTTCATAGATTTTTTTACTTAATAAATTAGTTACAATAAATAATTGGTGTTAAGAAATGTAACTCGTTACTATTTGGTACTAATTGCCTATTCTGTTTGCTCAAGAAGGAAGGGGACAATGTGAAATTTGAATTTATAACTCACATTTTAAGATGAAACATTAGATATCTTTATAACTGTTATATTTCCAATATAAGACCTGTAAAAAAGAAAAATCTACCTAATGGCTGTCTTCAAGTGTTTCTGTGGCCTGGGACTTTAGCTATATGAAACTTTATTTCAAGCCATGGGCAGAAGTTAGAAGCCATTTGGAGTTCTTATCCTTCTGCAGAGAATACATTTATAGAGTTAGTTAGTTCTTGATTCAGTGTTAGTCCAAAGACTTTACATTCCACTTTAGCAATCATGGCTTTGGGACAGAAGTGAGAAGTGGGTAATAAAACCTACAATGTGAATCCAGGTTCACGATCTCCACCTACATAAACTAAGTTACATCTTTCTTTATAATGTAAGGTAAACATGGGTATACATTTCTGTTTGCTGGTTATGGGGGAAATAAAGACAGGGAAATATCAAATGAACAAATGGGTAAAGACAGACCCAAAGTCGTGGCATGGGATTATATTCTTTTAGAGAAGTTATATTAAACCAATAATAATTCCCAGTAACCAGTTTGATTATGCAAAATTTGAAACAATAAAAAAGCTGTCATATAAAGGAGGTCTCAGAGAGGTCAAACACTTGCTTTTCTAAGCTTGAACCTCTGTGTTCATTCTTGCAACACAGTTGTTTGGGTTGACAGGGGTGCTTGCTCTTTTAAATACAATTCTTGTCTGTTCTTTTCTTGCCTACTTAAGAAACAACTTTTTGTTACCCAATCTAGCAACAGTTGCTACCATGGGTATGTTTACCATACACCAGGCCCTGCTGCAAATGCTTTATAAATACGGTAGCTCTTTAAGCCTTACAACCACCTTTGTGGGAGAAAGGATCTCCCCATTTTGCAGACGATACTGAGGCTCCAAGATACTGAGTTAACCATGTCATGTCTACAAGTTCCAGACCCCATAGCAGCTTAGAGTAGCTGGCCAGCCCCAGCCCCACCCCTGTGCTCTTCACCTGCTCCTTCTCCCTGGCGTGGGCACAGGATTTCCTGCACTTCTCATCAGGAGGGGAGGGCAGGGGAGCAGGTAGGCAGGGTCCAGAGAAGCAACCCAAGATGGAAGAGAATTTGCTTCACTGCCAGAAGTTTGGAGTCCTTTATGTTTTGCTGCATTTCGTTAGCACTTGTTCTTATTTTCTTTACTAACATCCTCTTTTTCAAAACTTCCATTTCAGTTTTCCCTCCTTCTTCTTGGTCTCAATAGTACTAGGCAGTGGGCAGAGGTGACTTCATCAGTCTGTGTCCTTTGGGTATAATCTTTCAACCACAAAAAAGATTCAGGGACTCTAAGGACAGAGATGCAAAGTTGCAGAAGGGGGAAAAAGAGGTGAGGAGGAAGGAAGGAGAGGAGGCAAAAAAAGTACAGGACTCAAGGAGGATGTTTTAAGCAAGTATTGGGTAAAATGAGAGATGAGGAGTCAGACAGACACCCGCGCCTGGAAAAGCTGTCATTCTCTAATGAAAAAGCTGTATCAAAATTGTTTCAACATGTAAAGGCAGGGGAAATCTGAAGACATATTCGAAGTCAGCTGATAAAATGACACATAAGAAGTAAACCTGATGAACAGCTGTAAACCGGTTATCCATCATAAGGTAGATGAATCAAAAATACAAGTTCACCTATCAATAAGAGTAAGAATTATTGCCTAAAATGCATGCCCATCCCCTCAAAGTGATACAAAACATACTGCAAATAGCTGCCACGCCCAACCCCACCCCTGCCACACCCCACTAGGACTCCCCAGACACAATGACTGCTTTATTTGAGTCACTAGAAGAGCAACGTTGACTCCAGCTAGAATTTTTCAAACATTCTTGAGATTTTTTAGGATGGCTTTGCCCCAGAAAAACTAAGATGTATTTGAAATGTGGCATTACGTTTGGTAGCCTTCCTCCACGAATCTGAATTGGAAACCCATATCCAGTTGGCCCTGGTACATTCATGGGTTCCATATCCTCAGATTCAACCGTGGATCAAAAATATTCGGAAAAAAAAAAAAGTATGGTTGTGTCTATACTGAACATGTACAGACATTTTTTTCTTGTCATTACTGTGTAACGACTGTGTACATAGCATTTACATTGCAGTAGGTATTATAAGTAATTTAGAGATGATTTAAAATACATGGGCCAGGCATGGTGGCTCATACTTATAATCTCACTACTTGGGAGGCTGAGGCAGGAGGATCAGTTGAGCTCAGGAATTCAAGGCTACATGCTTCTAGACTCCAGCCTGGGCAACAGAGTGAGACCGCATCTCCAAAAACATAAAAATAAAAAATAAAATGTATATGGGAATATTGCACAGGTTATAATGCAAATGCTACACCATTTTATATAAGGGATTTGAGCATGTGTGGATATGGGGGTGTCCTGGGACTAATTCCCAAAGTATACCAAGGGACAACAAACCATGGACCCCAAATCAGGTGCTCTGTGAATGAGAGCTCTCCTCTGAGATGAGGGAAGGGGGGAGAAGATGGAAATGGGGGAAGGCTTTGTGGGAGAGATGGCAAATGAGCAGTAGCTAGAACAGAATTCAAATGTGGGATTGGGGAGGAAAGGAGGAAGACACAGGTCAGAAAGAGAAGGAGAAGTCTATGGTCATACCACCAGGAATGCGCCCAATCTTGGCTGATCTCAGAAGCTAAGCAGGGTTGGGCCTGGTTAGTATTTGGATGGGAGAAAGAAAAAGAGGAGTGGGGCAGGGAGCATTTCAGCTGGCTTAAATGGGTAAAGTAGGCCAGACACAGTGGCTCATGCCTATAATCCCAGCACTTTGGGAGGCCAAGGAGGGTGGATCACAAGGTCAGGAGATTGAAACCATCCTGGCCAACATGGTGAAACCCTGTCTCTACTAAAAATACAAAAATTAGCTGGGTGTGGTGGCATACACCTGTAATCCCAGCTACTCAGGAGGCTGAGGCACAAAAATCGCTTGAACCTGGGAGGCAGAGGTTGCAGTGAGCCAAGATCATCGTACCACTGTACTCCAGCCTGGTGACAGAGAGAGATTCTGTCTCCAAAAAAAAAAGGGTGAAGTAGAGGGATCAAGGAATAAGACATTCCAAAAAAGACTATGCAGGAATTTTTTTTAAAGCACATAAGAGAAAAAGTTGTGGCTTGAGCGGGTAAATGTCAAATCACTTAGTTTGGCTAGAAGTTAGGGTAAAGCGAAAAGAGGGAAAAAAAGAGATCAGAAGGGTTAGCTGTGGTCAAATCATAGTAAGAAAAACCATGATTCAGAAACAGGGTGACGATCCAACCCAGTGTCTGCCTGTTATCCAACGGCAGTTCCTGTGTCCCATTCTGGACACCGTATTTAGAAGCAGCCCTTGATAGAGGGTTTGTAACACAGAGGTACCAAAAGTAGATGATGGTGTAAAACAAGAGGTACATGTCACATGTTTCTGTCTTGGTTGATCAACATTTAGTGTAAGTTAACTACCCTTTATTAAGTGCCCGCCCTGTTCTAGGCGTTACAGTGGGCAGCCCTGAAAGTAGGCTAATACCAATTTAACTAATTCAACAAATATTAACTTGTCACATACTGTGTAGTAGGCCATGGGCAGGATGCTAAAAAGACCTCAGAGATGTTTCAGGTGTACAACTTCTACCAAAGAGTCAGTGAAAATTCCAGTGCAAGCTGGAATCTGGACCTGAATGGAGGTGAAAGAGAGTCAAAAAGCTGAGAGTGTTTAAATGCAAACAAAAGGAGATGTGCGCTGTGCCTCCATTTACTGGTCACATGAGCTTGACTTGTCTCTAAACTATGTACCAGACAGTGTTTTCTGAGGATCACTTGAGATAACTTATTGACAATGTCCGTCCAGATGAGATGGTCCATATCTGTAAATTTCCTTTCTCCAGAACCTGTTTATGTAGGTTTACCAGGATGGGTTAGTGAGTGGATGGCTGATTTTTTTTTTCAGGAGGTTTTCTCTTTTCAGAATGCTGAGCTATACTCATAATATACTTCTTCTCAAAAAACATTAATTAGGTAGGAGTTTTTAAAAATACTGATCTGATTGCTAAGAACCATTTAACACTTTGCAAATACTGTTGAAGCAGAAGTATCGTCCCTAATTGACTGAATATGGTCTTCCCATGTTTCCCATTATTCCATTCATGGAATAATGGTCTTCCATTATTCTTGGCAGGAAAGAACATGGTTCCCATAAGCACTTAAAATATATTTCAATTAGGATGACACAAGTATAAGATCATACGGTCCTCTAAAGTAAGAGAAGGAAATCTGAGGTGAGTCCATCTTTTAACTTATTTTGCTTAGAGCACTGTGAAAAAGTTATAGAAAGTTATAGGAAAGGAGCAAAAGAAATCCAGTCTGAAATATTAGGTGGATCTTAGGCTGTGGGCCACTATTGTGAACTTGAACTTTTGGGCTTTGTTGTCTACACACTGGGTAGAACATTTTCTTCTGTAGAGGGCTTCTAGTGTAAAAGCCTTCTATGGAAGAGAAATCTTAATACGTTACATATCAAAGCCAGCATCTGAATTTGTAGAACTAAGAAGTTTTAAAAAATTGCTTTTTTATTCAAATCTCATATCTCACCTGATCAAGTTGCTTATCCTTTAAATATAAAGATTCTTACATCCCCTGTATATAAACTAATACATAATAGATATTGCATACTGTAAGGAAAGTATATAATTCCAGATTTACACTGTTGTGGCTACATCTTTGCTCACAGAGATTTGATGTCAAAGGGCAGAGCTCTTGTAATAATTTACCATGCCTCAGTTTCTGGAACACAGATACAATGAATTCCTCTCTTTACACGGTTATTATAACAATGAATTAAAATAATGGCGATGGAAATATTTCAGAAAAGGCATAATGTATTATAAAATGCAAAGCTGAGATCTATTTACTTCAGCATACATAAAATTCCCCCCAAACAGGGTACATTTGTTATTATGTGAAGAGACAATTTCCTTCTGAATTTCTCCCAGTTTCTTCCTGACACCTCCTGTGTTCTGAAATGCAGATTCTAGTGCAGTTGGGCCTCAGAAGGCACTTGACCCTTCACAATGTGAAAGTCACCAAGTGCAACGATTCTAGCCAAAGTGACCCATTTTAAAAGATGACCCATTTCAAAACCCATGAGTTATTACTCAAGCTGTTCTATTTTTGAGAACTAGAAAGTTATTTTCTTTTTTTTTTTTTTTTTACAATCTCACCATTTGAATGTCTTTTATGAAAAGAGGTAAGTAATCTCCACTTTAATGAAATACAATGTTTCATTTTTTATTTGATAGAGCCTGCACTTTATTTTGAAAATTCTGCACCTTCTTCTGAGTTTTCTCTGGGCAGGGCAATGATAAGCATCTCTACCTCCTACTCATCTTCATCTCCCACTTTCTGGGGAACAGCTGCTCTGGGCTCTGGCTTGGACTTTTCCTGTAATAACACTGGTTCTACCTTAGGTGCCACAGGGAGCCTTGCAGGGCCCGGAAGGGTCAGCCTGAGTCAGCCTCCTCCTCAGGCTCAGAGCGTGTCCGGGAGGAGAAGGAAGCTGAGAAGGGGCAAGAGAGAGGACAAGCAGGTTAAACACAAAACGGAAACATTTTGGTTTTGCGTTTAGCTTGCTTTAAAAGCAAAGAGTTGGCCCCAAAAAGCAGCTTTCACCTCCTCACTTGTGACCAGATAGAAAATCTACCATACATTTTTTTTGAGAAAGTTAAAAGGTCAGCTGCTGACCACTAATCACCCTTTCAGAAAGTTGAGGGTGGGATCATTTCGGTGCCACCGCTTAACACAACTACCTTCAATCATCCTTTTCTGGGTCAACTTCAGCTTTTCACAGTCCTCTCCCTTCCCCCGCAGGGACCAGGCAAGGTTTCCCAAAATACAGGCACAGAGGAACAAATCCAATTCTGATGGATGTACTTTCATCAGACAATTACCGTAAATACGAGCTACAGGCCACCGCCAGCCACGGTGCGGTTACCACGGTGTCCCTGTGACAGGACCACAAAAACCAACACTGGCCGAGAACGTAGTGTGCAGAGTCGAGTTGAAAACGGTTACTTTTCCCTGCATGTATCCAAGCAAGCAACTGCCTCTGCCACACTGGGACTCGAAATGAAATTCGGCAGAGTCGGAGGCAAGAGCGGCCCGACCTCCCCGCTGCCCGATTCCCGGTCCCCAGTTCCCCCACCACAACCCCCCGAAAGCGCCCAGGCCGGCGGTTTCCTCTTTCCAGCCCCAATGCGGGCTTTCGACTCGAATTCCCTCCAGCCGGGGCGGGGTGCCGCCAGCCTGGGGCCCTCGGCCGGAAACCCAACCGGTGGGCGCGGCGTTCGCCTCGTGGCTCCCGCGCCCGGGCCGGTCCCGCCGCCGCCGAGGAGCCGGAGCTCCCCAGGGAGGGGCCCCCGCCAGCCCCGGGAAGCGCCCCCAGCCGGAGCCGCCCGCCCGAGCCTACCTGCCGCACCTGGGCGAGGACCCGGCCCGGGTCACAGCCGCTGGGCGCCCTCGCGGCCGGGCGGGAGGAAACAAAGGCGCTCCGAGAGGGCACGAGCCTCCGTCCCCGCCGCGCCTCCGGAGGGCGGCGGGCCCGGGCCGCGGTGGGAGGGCCTCCCCAGCTCCCCGGCACTGGGCCGCGCGGTGCGGGCCAGGGCGGCGGGCCCCCGGCCTGAAGTCCTGGCGCCACCCGCCGGGCGAGGGCTGCGGCGCTCTCACCTCCTCGCCTCCCTTCCCTACGAGCCCTGGCCCGGCCCGGAGCGGCACACTCGGAGCCTCCCGCGCCGGAGGCCGCCAGCCGCCGAGACGAGGAGGCGCGGCGGGGCGGGGCGGGGCGGAGGGGGCGGCGCGCGGCCCCAAAGCCTGGACCGTGCGGGGGACCCAGGGAGCCCGGCTTGGGGCCGCGGCACGGAGGAAAACCGTCCGAGGCCTGGGGACGTATCCCGCCGAGCCGCCACAACGTCCCCACTTAGGGATCCGGCAGGGGAGCCACATTCCCACCCTCAGAGGGGCCTCGGCGCGCGGCGAGATGCGGCACCGCGGTGTCACCGCGTAACTGACCCCAGACGGCCTCCGCGCGGAACCTCCGGCCCGGGGAACCTCCGGGCCGGGGCGCCGCGCCAGGTGGCGGACTGTGTGGCCGGGGGCACGCCGCTCCCCTCACGAGGGACCCCGGCTCTGCGCGCCGCGGAGTAGGAAGGACGGGCTTCTCGTCTCCGAGCGACGGCTCCCGGGCGGGTCTGGCGAAAAGGGTTCTGCTCACGGCACTTCTGCCGGGAGCTTCAGGGGGCCCGAGTAACAAAGGAAGGGAGCTCACTCCAGCGGGCGAGGGCTGCCCCGCGCGCTCCGTGTTTAAAACACGAGCGGACCGGAGGCCCCGCCCCCGGCCAGCTTCCCAGCGACTTTGCTCCGTTCGGCTTCCACGGCCAGGGCGGTTTAGCGCGAAACTCACCGAGTCCAAGCCCCGCTCTTTAAACGTCCCAGTCGGAGGTCGGCTTTTCTCCCCGCACGGGAGCGAAAGTCACTGGTCCCAGGAGCAAAACTTGCGGCTTTAAATCTCGGGCGAGGGCTGGACGGGCCGCGCAGGACCGGGCTCGCTTCCCCGGCGGGATGCGGGCGGGATGCGGGCGGGAAGGGGCGGACCCGGGGCGAGGAGGGGACCACGAGACTCCCAGCCCGGCGCCCTGCACCTCTCGGCGGCGTCACGGCCCGAGCCCGGCCCCGCCCGCCAGGCCGTCACCCTCCCGGCGCCCAGGTGAAGGGGACGGCCCCGCCCCAGTTTGTTCTCGTCCGTGGGTGAGAATTCCAGGAAGTGTCTCCCTGCGGCTCTTCAGTCAACTGCGGTCACTCACCCAGATGACCAGCTGGAGGCCGGCGTGCACACGAACGTCCTCTTTGAGCTGCTTTCCTCCGTCGGAATACTTCATGCAGGTAACTAGACCAGGTCGAGAGATGCGGACTTCTGCTCAAGGAGAGGCATTGGAAAGGGATCCATTATGCGCTTGGTTTCTTGTTCCCCACGGGAACCTCTCCCTAAAGCCACAGAACAGTTAACAGAGATAATATTTCGAGAGATTCTGTTATTGCACATATTTCAGAACATGACAGAGAAGCAAAAGATGAACCCAAACACTTCCGTAAAATGAAAAGTTTGAGTTTGTCGTAAAAGGAATAAATTCGACAGGTAATGAGTTCAATGTATAATTGTCGAATCAGAGTTGAAAACAGTGAGGCCGGGCACGGTGGCTCACGCCTGTAATCCCAGCACTTTGGGAGGCTGAGCAGCAGGAGGATTGCTTGATCCCAGAAGTTAGAGACCAGCCAGGCCTACGTGACAAGACCCCGTCTCTAAAAGAAAACCACACACAAAAAATGAAACCTGTAAACATTGTACTTGTTAATTCAAACTAGATTTTTAGGAAGTTTTGTAATTGCTTTCCTTAAGCCGGTGGGCATCTTTTCAGTCATGCAGTTCTTTTCATATGCTGCCTACAGAGGGCATGGCTCAGCACCTCCTAGGCCACAGGCAGAAATATTTACATATGTGATTTGCAAAGGAGTCACCGACAGTGACCCACAAATAGGCTGATTCATTGTTAATACAGCACTAATCACAAACGTTATCTAATAAAATGCTAGCTGAAACCCCACCTGCATTTCCCCCCCATCACATGTATGTTGTATTTATATGCAAGTATTCAATTACAGTTATATTCCTTTCAGATCGTTTGGAACTAGGCCCATGTGTCGGTATGCATATGTTCCACATACATGAGCACATAGAACTTGTATCCACAAGAAATACACGCTGACCAAAACAGTGATAGACACACATAAAAATCATATATTCATGTCATGCTAGATGCAGATGAAGACACCAGATAGAGAAATGGTTTCAAAAGTATATCTGGAGAATGGAGAGATGATGTAAATTTTTGGTGGTAGGAGGAAGAGGTGAGAGGGTGTGAAGGAGAGATGGGCAAGGTCAGGTAGTCCAGAATGCCGACCCCGAGATCCACACAAGGTCAGGTCACACATCGGAGGGGACAGGGAAGTCCCCTTTGCTTGTTTGGGAAGATTTCCTAAAGCAGCCCAGCTTCCTGTCCCACCCAGAGAGCGGGGAAGAGAATGACAGATTTGATGTCCTGATGGTGTTACACTCAGTTACTTTTATCGAGAGGGAGTACATGAAGATGTTGAGATATGTTAGAAATAAACTTAGGTAATAGTAATGATGCTGACTTGTCGGCATGAAGAAAGAGGACCATGCGGGCGTGCTTCCCTTATCCAAGCAGCTGCCGGAAGCAGAGTCCTGTGATTATATCTATACACAACTTTGGAATGACCAAAATCTGCATGTTAGACTGGGCAGGGACAGATAAGGCACAGAAAACACAGGAGCAGCAGATGTAGGAGAGGATCAGAGAATAAGGCAACACATACATCATTAGTTGTAGGGAGGGAAGATTAAACCCTGAGTGCAAGAGAACCTAGGAGAATGCGGGAGCCACATGGCCCGAGGAAGAGGCCAGTGTTACTGAAATGATGAAAGGAGATGCAGGTCTGTTAAACGAGTGGCTTAACACAACTCACGCGTAGCAGCATAGTGGCAGGCTTGACCTGTTCAGCTACATTTGTCTTTCTGCATTCTGTTAGACCAGATTTCCTCACAGGCCCCATAGGGAAGCTGTCCGGTGAATTCGCACACACCCCAGGCCCAATATTCTGAAGCAGGTCAGTGTTCATTTAACGCCTAGGCTGTTAGAGAGGCTGGTTGGATCCTGACCTGGTTTCCTACATAGGATCTCTGACAAGTTATCAAACTTCCCTGTGCCCACAGTAATACCTGCCTGCAAGAGTGGGTGAGGATGAGTGCAATTGCAATGACGGGTGGAGCGTGAGCTCAGCCTGGGCTATCCCAGTGAATGCTCCGCATCCTGGAGCCCACCACAGGCTGCAAAAAGCTCCTCTCACCTGGCAGAGGTGGGCTCCTGCTGTGTCCCATCATCACGCTGTAAAGAATCTGCTGTGTTTCACACCTCTGGGAATTTCATTTCTGTTGATACAGCATCACCATTCAAACAATGCCCCATCTCCTTGGCTCGGCCTCTTTCACTGCCCACCGGCCACCTCCCACCACACCTAGACTCCCTTGGTGTTCTTTTCTCTCCACACTTGCCCCTTGCTGATATCACCCATTGTCTTTAATCCTGACTGAGCCACTGCTCCTTGCCAATCCCGATTTATATTTCTAGCCTAGATTCTCAGCTTCAAACTTAAGTGTCTTCATTTGGGTATGTCACATCAATCTTCAGCTTAATTTGTCTAAAATGGGATGTATAAATCTGGCATTGGGAAATGGTTAATGGACAGGACTTGAATGCCCCGAAGGCCAGAATCCTCTTCCTTCTCACCGGTGACCCAGCCCAGGGTGTTAGGTGTCAGTAACAATCAGTAGTATTTTGTCACTGTATAAGTTATATGTGTTTTGCCTCACCTAGCTGCGGGGAGGAAAAAACAGTTATATGTCTCTTTTCCCAACTATTTTGAAAGTCTTCAGACCTGTTGAGGGTGAAGACCATATCCTGCTCTTTTCTGATTCCCTCAAAGACCCCCCATCTCCCTGCCACCCCAACAATGCTGCCACAGAATGAATGCCTGGGAACGCAAGTGGAGTGGAATTTTGGGGTAGCACTTCCACATTCATCAGTTATTCAAACTTCTGTTCCAAGAATCCCGTGCGTAGTACAGTGGCTCTGTGTACTTCTCCCTTGATGCCACCAAGGCCCAAAAGCTGACCCTGGAGGCACACTAGCCCTTTCCTGCAGCTCCCGCTACTGCTTCTGTGGCCTGGCACCATTCAGCATCCTCCCTCGATTCCAAGACCTCAGCAGTTTGATGAGACTATACTAGGTATACCCAGAACTGGAAGATGAAGGGAACTGACAGCACAAGGAGGCACTCACCCACAGGCCATTCTGAGAACCCGGTTTGTTCCATTTTCTTCTCTGCATGGTGGAGGGGCCCCCTGTAACTGATCATCTCCTTCACACCAACACATAAGGAAATCTCTTCTGTGCCATCTAATACTCAATGGGGCCTCTCAGGGACAGGGGCCGTCTGCAGGGACAGGCCCTGCTGACTGGGACCCTCGCTGGTCCAGTAGAGCAGTGCTGTCAATAGATCGACAGCCCCGGTGAAAATGACCTGATTCCAGTCCCTGGCAGTGAGCCTCTCGGCACTTCTCCTTTTCCCACCAGCAGATCAGACACACACACCACACCCCCAGGAGCACGCGGGGTTCTGTGCAGGTTCCAAAGGGCTTTCTCTCCTATTCAGGAGGGCACATGTAAACTGAGTGAGGGAGGGACATTTTCATAGGAACAATCTTGAGTGCTGTCTGATTAGCACATATTTAAAAAGACAATTGGCACTTTTAGTTAGCTGTTAGTCTAGTCACAGTTATCTATACTGAGCAAAATAATTTGCGTACTGTGATGGGGAGGTACAGGGGAAGCCCCTGGAGATGTTCAGAAAATGGTTATTGACAAGGCTACATGCCTGGCCCAGAGGCAATCATTAGCATTGGGATATTTGCACTTAGGTTTAGTTGTACTGATCTTTAAGGAACAACTAAAATGTAATTTTCTTTTTGAAAAAAATAGACATTTTTTTGAGACAGGGTCTGTGGCTCAGGCTGGAATGCAATGGCCAATCACAGTTCACTGCAGCCTTGACCTCCTAGGCTCAAGCAGTCTTCCTGCCCGAGTCCTTCCTTCTTGAGTAGTGGGGACTACACCGCAGGTGCACACCATCATGCCCAGCTAATTTTTTTTTATATTTAGTAGAATGGAGTTGCTCACTATGTTGCCCAGGCTGGTCTTGTACTCCTGGGCTCAAGTGACCCACCCGCCTCCACCTGCCAAAGTGTTAGGATTACAGGTGTGAGCCACTGCACCAGGTCTAAAATGTG